GATGTGAAAGCCGCACTGCCGCGCCAAGGCACCTCTTATAGTGCGGTCCTAACTCTAAACTATGAGAGTCTCCATCTTGGAGCACATGGGGGCAGAAGATTTCAAATTGGGTGCAGGTTTGTCAGGAGGAAGCCCAGCCTCCTTAAAAGCACAGAAACACACAAGGGATCCCGCACATCCCAATGGCAGCTGAGAAACCCCATGCGTCGCTGCACCAAATCGGTCAAGCAAAACAAACGACAAACGCACTCAACAATTTGTCACCAGTTATACAGTAAGGTGCACACGAAATGGGCTTTGAACAGTAAAACAGTAGAAAGGCATCATGGCACACTCACAAACCAGCATGTAAAACAACTTGTCTCACCACTAAGGATAATAACAGAGGTTTGGATACACGTCTTCTGCAGAGGATGTGAAAGCCGCACTGCCGCGCCAAGGCACCTCTTATAGTGCGGTCCTAACTCTAAACTATGAGAGTCTCCATCTTTGAGCACATGGGGGCAGAAGATTTCAAAATGGGTGCAGGTTTGTCAGGAGGACGCCCCACCTCCTTAAAAGCACAGAAACACACAAGGGATCCCGCACATCCCAATGGCAGCTGAGAAACCCCATGCGCCGCTGCACCAAATCGGTCAAGCAAAACAAACGACAAACGCACTCAACAATTTGTCACCAGTTATACAGTAAGGTGCACACGAAATGGGCTTTGAACAGTAAAACAGTAGAAAGGCATCATGGCACACTCACAAACCAGCATGTAAAACAACTTGTCTCACCACTAAGGATAAAAGAGGAAAGCTGTCTGCAAAAAGAGAGGTAATTCTTACCAGTCCTGTTACCTACTCCATTATCCAACATTTTGTTGGGAGTATGTGTGTGCTGTGGTTCCAACTACTACCTGCTACATTGCTAATGGACACAGGCATCTGACACACCTGGAAGCTTCCGTGATGACATTTTCAGCAACCGTCATAGCCCTGCAAAAGTTTGGAATCACCAATGTTGGGACTGGTGTGGTGATAATGAAGTCTGATGAACCCCAAAATAAGTGGGAAAAATCGGGATTCATACAGAACACAATTTGACTCTGTATTTCGCTCAAATTCGCAAGTCAGTGACAAAATGATCAGTTTAGTTCTTGTGTCCATGGCTAGGCAGAGATCTGGAAGATTTCATACAACCCCATACTAAAACAACCAGCTTAAGCAGGTCAAGTTGAATAAACAGTACTTAGCCTAGGGTCCGCTCAGCCTCAAAAGACTTATAATTAAGATTGCCATGTCACAAGACCTCAACAGTCTCTGTACCCTGATAATAATTGGGTGTTATAAATTGCCATTTAAGCCAGAGCTTGCTTCCAAATATCTTAAATAGTTGTAAAATGGTCTAGGAATGGTTGAAAGCAAATACACGCCTTGATCATTTTTTTTTTATGTTTTTTTTTTTAATACCAGAACAGAAATCTATCCACATTTTATAATTGCTACTATAATAGAGATGTCTTCATATAACATGCCTGTACTACCGTATACGAGAATATCAGTCGAGTAGGCACCTAACACGCCTGTGTTATGATGTGCTGCAGGCAAATTTGTCACATTTTGTCTCTTAAGGAGAATATGCATATCATGTTTAACCACTTCACTACCGGAGTAATTCTTTAAATGTTCTCTCACATGTTATAACCTGTGTTTATAACTAGAGAAATAAACTCCACAAATCATGTAAAAGTGATCCGGTGGTTTTATAGCCACCCAGATCACGTTCATTCTATTGCCAAAAGCTGGCTAAACAGAAACAAGTTCATGGCTGCTGCTTAATATTTTTCAAATTGTGATTTTCATTCAATGCAATAATATATTGGTTGTCAGACTGTAAAACATGTTTATGTGATATTAATATCGTTTGGAAAATTGGCATTGAGGGAGTGTTTGCTGGATTATCATAGAATACGCTTTTTAACACACGTCAGCACACCCCTCAGACCCTTGGATTGGATATGTCATTTCGGTAAACTCCTTCACGGAGCAGAAAAGATGGCTGCATCCACAGATCAGTTGCACTCGTTTAACATCATAATGGCTAAGGATGCTGGAAGAGTCATTTATAAGAGAGCCAGTAATTCTCAGATTAGACTTATTCTGAAATGATTTGGACTCTGCACAGAAACTCGAGAGCAGGCAAATTTTGCAAAGTAGCTTTAATATTTTATATCCTGTTTTTTTGTGTGGTTTTTTTTAAATATTTTTTTTCTGTAAATATTTTCTTGCCTAGTTGCAAAGAACCCTTGCCTTTTTGAAGAATGCTACCATATTTTAAACCCTGTATATATTCCTGTTTGGCGAGTGCCACAGACATTTATTAAAATTCTGAATTTGTACAGCAGATGTTGTGGACGATGCATGCTTCAGTTAAAACACGGTTTGTGTTGTGTTAACTGATCCCAATGACGATGACTGTCTGCTGGCGCTTAGTGTGTTGTCCTGCAAGCTGGAAAACCTCGGTGTAATGTGCAGCTGAGTGCAATCATCACAACTGGTATTATCGCTCTTTTTTTTGCAGGCTATTTTTTTTCCCCTTAACTTTGCTGTAGTGCACTTTTCTCCCCTGCAAGATCAGGTCCTTCGAAAAACAGATGCAAACAGACGTCTGTTTAGACCCGGCTACTCATACACTAACATCGGGCTTCCAATCAGGTCCCCCTGAAAAACTGACAAAAGGACATGTGTTCGGATTCGGAAAGCCCATGTGAAAGAGGCCTTACTGTAGGAGGAGAAAATGTGGAGAAGAGAGGTTCCATGGCTTGAACAGCACAAAGGAAACATGTTGTATATGAAATAGGTCTTTGAATGGGGAAAAAAAACCTGTTAAGGTGAAAATGTTTTTTTCCTCTGTTGGCAAGAGGCAGCTAGTGAAGAAACTTTTCACAGATAAAAGGAAATGGAAAAAGATGAAGAAAGCTTTTATACTGTTGAAAACAGTAATTTATTTTTGGTTTATTGCAGCAACCTGGCTTACAGATGGCATTACATTTAACAGCTCATGATCAATACTTGCTGAAAATAAAACCTTCCTTAAATAATGCCTATGACCCTGTCTAAGCTTCTTATCGTGTGATGGAAGGGAACTACAGAACACTGGTCGTTTACAAGAAATTAAGGAATTGAGTTGCAGCTGCAGGGACCTCGCCTTGCTAATAAATTTTTCTGCTGCATGTTTCCCACCCTGAGCAATTGTCATCCATGGGGGAAAGAGAGAAACAAAGTTGGAAAAGATTTGGAAAATAAAACATACAGCACTTCTTAAATCACTGCTAATGCCTTGGACAGAAATGGTTGCTTGACTACTTGAGTCATACAGTTGTGTGCTGTATGAACACTGATACACAGAATGGGAAATATTTATTGATGGAGGTTTGCCAGAAATGTAATTTTTGTAATGCAATATCTTCAGCTCGTCTTTTTTCCTCTTTCTGTACCCCCTAAAAAAAGATTTTTGATATGAAGCATATTTTGTGTACTTTTGTTTTTTATTTTAAAAAAGAAAGGATATCTATGAAATGTCTAAATTTAAGTAGACTTCATGTTCAAAATGGTATTAAATGGTGAAACTAAATTCTCTCAAGACAGGTACCAGCATGGCAAGTACTTCTGTACTGCACCCCTTATGCAAATACTGACTTTTCAGAAAGGTTATGTGTTAGACATGCCCTCTGCATCCCACTGCAGGGGACATTGAGATTTGTTGACATTGCATTATGTAATGCATGTATAGGAGTCCAAAGGCTATGAGTGTGTTATGTACAGGAATCCAGGAGTCAGGAGTGTGTTGCTTACCTGTGTTCAGGGGCCAGGAGTGTGTGACGTACAGGGGGCAGGAGTATATACACCCTAGTGCACAGCACCCCCTTTGATTCATTCCATTCCTTTATTCATTGCACATCAGTACCCCATAAGGCATTTTAACACACATACACACCCATACACTCGCATATATGCACCCACACACATACACAGGAGCCGTTGCTCATCTTTCTCTCTTATGTCCCTCTGCTGGCATTGTTGGCTGTTCTTCCAGCCTCTTAAATTCCTCATCTCTGCTCCAGCTGGCAGTACAGTGTGAAGGCAGTGGACCTAAGGAGAATCTCCATGACAGGCTTTGCCCTGTTCAAAGCTGCCCTCCTTGTGTATGTAGAGGACTGTGGCTGCCCGGGGAAAAAAATGTCAGGCAGCCACAGCATCAGAGAACATAAGTGGCATTATCGGCCAAAAAATGTGGGGCTTGTTCCCTGTTCGTACTACGCAATGACATCCATGACAGTGGGGTTATGATCTATTTGTCACACGGGTGCAATAAATGTGTATATAAAAATCAACCTTTTGCAGACCCCGCTCTACATTATATAGTACTTATTTACTGCACAGCTTAATCAAAGCATGCAAAGTTTCCGTTGCATATTCTTCCCCCCACAGATTTTATTTTATAGGAAATAAAAGCATACAACTGATATATGTAGTACTCAGTGGAGGTCTTCGAATTTGGGGGTTGGTATGATACAATGCTTTTGTGTTTTGTGCCTAATTGTGTAAATCCATTTTGTTTATGGTTTTCCTTTTTTGATGCTACTCACTATTTTTTGGTCCATTAGTAAAACCAATATTGAGTAATGATTACTGGCTGTAGTGATTTGATCAGAGCGTTTCATTTTTCAAAATTACTCTTGAATAAGAGACTTCTGCAATCATGCTGCTTGCTATAGGCAAAACCCTCACATCTTTCGGAGCCCCTTTATTGCAAATCCACAGGCGAAGTGTACTTTGTATTACTGCTTGATAGATGGAGTGGGGAGACATAAGTAGCACTGACCATAAACTCAGTTGCTAGTGCTGAGTTGAATTCACTCTTGTAATTTGTGATACAGTTCTACAGACAGTTACATTATTTTTATCAAATTTGTATTGCTATATTTGACAAAGTTGTTCCAATTTCTCTTTCAGGATATGTGCAGAGTTTAATCCGACGTGTTGTCAATAACGTGAATATCGTGGTAAACAACCTAATCTTAAAATATGTTGAGGATGATATTGTTTTGTCAGTCAACATTACTTGTGCGGAATGTTACACAGTGGACGAGTTCTGGGACCGAGCATTTATGGATATATCTGGTGAGCTTTACTTTTATTGATAAATGTCTGTCTCTGCCCTTTTACCTTTTTTGTGTTGCTTTCTTAAAATGCACCTGTTCCAAACAAAACATGTAAACACACACACTCACTAAGTGTAAGGTTAGGTTCACACCTGGGCGACTCCTGACTACGTGGCAATCGTGCACAAAACCGTGCGGATTGCCAGGCGGTCATGGAGTCGCCCACCACAGCCGCCCACCACAGCCGATCGCGCTGGAGGTACCATTTTCTAATGGCACCCCAATCGCACCAGGCGGGTTTCCTGCCGTGAGTCTGCCCATTCAATTGAACACAAGTGCATGGTGTGTGGGGGGAAAAAATAAGGTTTTTTGTACCTTTTGGAAAAATTTTTTTTTAACAATTGCCGCGTGGATGTAACTCCATTGAAATCAATGGGGCAGCACGGCAACAGCTGTGTGCACTAGCTCACAATCACGTGGCCCTGGGACGCGTGTCCCAGTTGTCGCTGAGGTCTAAACCTAGCCTAAAAAAAAATCAACTTCCTGATAAAAGAAACAAAGGTGTGCTCCTGCCCCATCCCAACATGTAATGCTCAGTGCCCAAGCAACATCTTGGCAGCGCTTTTCATTGCCTGTAGGAGGCAGGGGCAACATGCCTATTAGATGATCCTGTATGTTTTGGTCCTCTTGAGATTGGTGGGACTTATTTCATCCGTTTTGGTCAGCGGTTCTAAGCAGCATCTTTGACACTTTCTCTGCCCGGTGTATGTACTGCTCTTACTCATTAATTTTCCTGGAAATCAGCAAGAATGTTTTATAAAACTGTGCTGTTTTCTGCTCATGAATTGATTACTTTCATATGGATATTAAATGTCACATGCTAAAAATATTGTTACTAATTCTCTGCCACGCTATAAGTCATGCTTTGAAAGGCCTCTCCAGTCATTGGTTGCTAGGGCCGCTGGGTGGCCCTAACAACCAGTGCAGTGACAAATGTCTTTCCACCCCCAGCTGCTCATTTGTCCACCTGCAGCTTAATCTCCCAGCTCCCCGTGGCCTGTAAAAAAAATGGTATGTGCCACATTGTACGAACACTATGTGTGGATGATAAGGGTTCATTCTGGGCCAGTTCACACCTATGCCATGCTGTGTGATTAATGCATGGTACTGTGCAACACACCTACCATGCGTTTCAGTGCAGCTGGTGCGTTGTGTAGCATGCACTACTTTTTTCAACTGCACTGCAACGCATGATATTTTGGTTAATAAAAGTATAAATTAATGTATTTACAATATCTGCTTATTTGCCGGAATAGGGCTGCTGCTTGTTGTATTAGGATTGTTTGGTTGGCCCACTCATTGGTACTCGCCCCAAATGCTCCGATGCCTAGCCCGATACTTAAGCTTCCGGTATCAGGAAGCCTGGCAGCGAGTCATTACATGCTGCCCGGCTTCCTGATTGGGTGGGAAGCTGGCTCCAGGCTCCCTTGTCACCGTGTAATGACGCGTTGCCCGGCTTCCTGATTGGCCAGCTTCTTGACCAATCAGGGAGCTGGGCAACACGTCTTTACATGGCGTCCGGCTTCCTGATTGGCCAGAAAGCCGGCTCCATGCTGTCTCATCACCTGGTGATGAGGGAGCATGGAGATGGCTTCCCTGCTAATCAGGAAGCCAGGTGTCGAGATTTTACACGCCGCCAGGCTTCCTTAATGGGACGTCGGGTATCGGCATTCGGTATCGACAAGTACTGAAAAAAAACCTATCGGTATTCGTACTTGATACCGAAAAACCGGTATTGGTGCCTCCCTAGTATTTTGGCACTGCTCATTGTGGCCAGAAAGTTAGTTTGGGGTGCCATTGAAATGAATGGCAATGCACCTGCAGCACTGTAATGCATTAATTGGTGTGGCCCTCCACAGCTGTCCCAGTTTCTCATGTGGCCCCTTGAGAAAATGAATTGCTCACCCCTGGTCTAAGTACGCCTCCAGTACCCGTGCTAGGTCTGTTACTGATCCAGCTGTGTCTTCAAAGTGGGCACACCAATTGGAGTAATACAAAGGAGTGGGGTGCAGAATTAAATGTGCCCAAATGTTGCAAAACACTCATTTGTATTGCTCAGTGGAAGTTTCATGCACTAAGGAAAGGTCCGCATGCATGGTGGATACACGGTAAGCACTCCAATATGGCACCTGTTTGTGTAAAGCCCAACAGTTTACTGACAACTTCTGATTTCACAGGTTTGCATGCGTCATCACTGATTTTCTGTGCTTTGTCTTTCAGCTACCGAACTGGTTCTTAGAAAAGTTATACATTTTTCTGACTGCACAGTTTGTCTTGACAAGCGAAATGCTAGTGGGAAGATAGAGTTTTACCAGGACCCTCTTCTGTATAAGTGTTCTTTCCGAACCCGATTGCACTTCACCCACGACAGCCTTAGTTCTAAAATGCCAGCTGTGATCAAGGTAATTTCGTATTAGCTGCTCATATCTACTACATTAGAGATGCCTTGCCCCCCCCCTCCCCCACCAGATCAACATGCAGTTAAAATGTATCAATAAAATCGTTTTTTTCAATGTCATTGTCATTACTAGGTCTCTCAGCTGCTTTTTGCTCTGAGTTTGGTGGGTGGTGGGGGCAGCTGTGCGTGTAAATGTCAGAGCATTTCTTTTTCAAAAGAATTATATGAAAGAACACATCCCCAGTATGCCTTTTAATCTGCCTGCTTCTCCCTGCTGGCCACTGCAATCTGCAGACTTTAGCTGCGCAGTCTGCTGATTTTGGTTGGTTGACTGGTTGCAGGCACCTCTAAAGGGATGCCGAGGGTGTGTTCTTTCATATAATGCTTGGGACAATGGGACAAAATAACTGATGGCAGGGAAAGCTAATAGCTGTTGGAGAAGGGGGAGGGGGTAAAAACAAGACAGTAGGGATCAGGGGGAGAAGTGATTGACGAATAATGGAAGTCATTCATACAGAAAAAAGATAGCCGCGGCTTCTAATGGTTATATTGTGAACATGCAAGTGTACGGGGAATTAAGAGTATTCAGTTTCAGCACAGGAGAGGACTTGCTACAAATGCGGGAAAACAAGGTCAGGCTTTAAGGCAAGAGGGTGATCATCTCTGCCAAGCAGGCTGCATTTTCAAAAGGAGTGGTCAGCAATAGCAACTTCCATTTTCTCATCACAGGTGCACTTTAAATTCTGAGATAACAAAAGTAAGTCTAAAAATAAGCACAAATGGGGTACACTGACATTAATAAATGGGCCAGCAAGTTTGAGGAGCCAGTCAGGATAGAAGTATAGAATGTGTGGCATTGCTAACTTCTTTTTCAGGGTTTAAGCTATGGGACATTTCTACTTTTGTGAGGCACTGACCCAAAACAAGTGCTTGTCATGTATCTGAGTGCACGTTTTTGTCTTGGGACAAAAATAAAAAAAGATATACTCACCTCAACCTTGCAGCCAGCTGCCTGTTAGACCGGTCCCTGCAGCCCCCC